TTTAATTAGGCCGACTCGAACTTTGCTTATCAGCGGCGATTCTTTAGTTTGAAGTCATTTTGTAGCAATCAGGCGATGAGGTCGAAGAAGAAATGGTGATAAGCAAATAAATTATGGAGCTATGACAGAGCAAGGTAAACGGCACGTGTCATGACGCTGCACCGAACTCGCCAAAAAGATACATCTATACACGAGCCGAATGTAAACAAGCCAGACGATTGGATATGGTCAGAGTGAAATAAGAGCGAGGGGTCGATTTATCTGACTAGTCTCCTCTCGTGGCAGGCTTACTGGCTATCCCTACGGAATCGCTATGATTGCACGAAGTCTGCGATCTAACACGTAATTTTCATTACTACGGCATAGCACTTCGGACAATGTCACACCACTTGGAAAAAGTTACGCGATTTGAATCGAGTCTAGGGTATTTTTAGAGTCTTGTCTTTACGCTGTAGTGTATTTTACATTAGCGGCGTTGCAATAAAAGAAATCGCATAGGATTAGTTAATGACTAGTGTCGGGTGGATTGAAACGGTTCCCAACTTGAAAAATGAAGGAGGCGTATAATCGTTGAAAACAGTGGATAATTGTATAAAGCTAGGAACAATAACTTGTCTTGATGGCAAATCAGTCTGCCTTTAGTACGTGAGGACATGGGCAGTAGCGATTTATATATATATATATATGATACATGTATGAGAAAAGGTAGAAAGCGCGATGTGCCACAATCTGCGTGGTTGCTACGTGCGTGCGCTTCTAAAGGAATTATAAGCGAATTTTAGGTTGTATGAACCAAAGTGAATGCGTAAAGATATGAATCTTAGTCCAAAAAGCACCAAAACGGTTTTTGAGCGCAAATCCTCCATCCAGCAACTGAAGAGGATATCACAGTTAGGAAGGATGATAGAGTAGAGAAAAATGATACGTAGGACTAGGCAAATACGAAAGATAAATATTAACATAAAAGATGTGAACTATATAAAGGAACCATTTCTCCTAAGGAGCTGTAAAAATTCCACTGAGAAACTCGCCTCGAAAGCGGAAGCTCCTTTGCACATGGGGAGATAATGAGTTTGAATGGTAGAGATGAAGGATAAGAAAATAGTCCGCAATTATATTATACAGGAGCCGAATTGCTTATAAGCATGAAATGAATAAGGAAACGACAGCATTTGGGTGAGGGTGGAACAATTTAAGGGTGGATGAGGGGCTTTCCAAATACATGAAAAAAATAAAAATATAGGCGACCAGAGATAAAGACTAACATTCGTCTTAATAATAAAAACCGTCTTTTTATCACAAAATAAATTAAGGAAACCGTAAGCATGTTCAAAACATAAATCAGAATAATAAATGAAAACGAGAGGTAGATGTAGAAATGTGGTATTTCCTCTAGAAAGAAAATGCTTGATAATTTGAACATGACTCAAGACAGCTGAGATTGAGGTAGGAGAGTAAGGAAAAGACTAAAGTGCTTTCATGGCAAGATATGCAATTAAATGATCCGGAAGTGGCAACCGAGCGACTTTGTTCTTTAGAGTGTCCGCGTTGCCTAAGGCACGCTGGATTTCCACTCTACAAAGGCGTTTCAAAGAACGCACATTCGACTCTTCACGTCGAAGCCAATCAGCCAGCTCGCTATCACCCTCGATACAGCCTCCTGGGATAATGCCGTGGGCCAACAGCCAGCGTGTGAAGCTTGCCAAGTTTACGGGGTCACAGCCATGGCTGAGTAAAAGTTTCACCATAGGTATGTCCAACTTAGGGAACTTGACAGCCATGTGCAGTGGTCCGAGACCTTCATGATCCGCTCGGTTTACGGAAGCGCCGGCGCAGAGCAATTTACCAGCCAGCGCAAGATGACCATGCAATACGGCGATGTAGAGGGGCGTCTTGCCATTCTTATCTGCTGCATTCACATTAGCTCGAGCAGAAAGAAGCAAATCAACTATATCAAAACGACCATGGTAGCAGGCTACATAGAGAGGGGTCTTTTGATGGGAATCGGCTTGATCAACCTGTTTTAGTGTAAAATATTAAATGGAATTATTATAAGTCAAATTACGAAATGAATAAAAGCGAAATAGATATCTGCTACCTTAGATTTAAAGCCAAAGGGCTCAATAATTGTTGAGACAAGTATCTGCAAAAAATTGGCAAAGACCATTAGCTTACATGAACCATTCATGTTTAACGAATTATTGCATTCTGGACAACTTCCAGAATGGGGAGTTGCTGGAGAATAATGTGATTCCTTGCACAAGCATCGACACGCAAGCTTCGATAAGACCTGGCCATTTGATAAAATTGTGCAAATGAGAGAGCAGGATGAGCCTACAAGCAAGAGACGACTAGTTTGGGCTCTAACACGCCAGATGACCTATGAGATGCGTCAATTTACGAAGCTAAAGCACGCGCTTATTCATATATGAAATCAGCTGTGAACAAATTTTTCAAATCTATAAGTATCAAGTAACCAAGAAATAGTCAACCAAATTCTGGAGCGCAGGCTTGACCTCGTTTCCGCAACTTGGTCGGAGCAACGAGATTTATTTTAGTCTAAAAAATAAGTTTCCACTGAAAGATTCATAGCCTTCGATTACTCCATTTGAGAACTCTCCCAATAGGATATCTCGATAGTATATGAACCAGTTGTACTCCATCTTATCTGGAAAATAGCTTCATTTGTCTGTAATCCTTAAGAGTATAGGTTGCTACAAGCTTTCGTCTTTACTCTGATACTGAGCCAAAAATCAGCTCATCTTAACGAATTATACCCATTTTTCTTAAATGCATTTGATACGAGCAATCTTAGATTTGGTACCATGAAGCATGCCACTGATTTTCCCTTAATCGCCTTGAAAACATTTGATCTTACACAGTCTACCTAACTTTGGTAAACATGGAATCCTTGCTTTCCAGAGCTGTACTTATTGTAAGGAGCCTCCAAGACGACCATGATTTTGGGCGAACCGGCATCAACTCTGGGCAGCAAGTTCGGTCCCGCTATCAGGCATGGCAGCGCCCATGAATATGGTCATCAAAACGTCAGTTAAATCTTCTAAAACAAGAGAGTCAAGCTTATCTAGAACTAAAAGAGGCGAGCTCCAACCCACCTAGTCTGCGCTCACAGGACTTATTACTTTTAGCACTGTGGTATACTCGGTCGTTCAGCCCTCATAGAATTAGATTACGTCGACTCGACCCCTATTAATCATATTGTATGAGCTTAGACTGGATCAGCTGCACCCCTCCATCAAGTAAATCAAGGCAGTCGAACCATGCATCGAAAGCTCTCGTTCCTTTCTCCACCCACAAGCTTACCACATACCCATACAGACGATGCCTTTCAACTTCCTAAAGAATCTAGGTGACAATAACAAAGTGAAGAACTGAAAATTTTTTAAACTTCTTTAACTACCAGTAATTCCAAATTAAAATATTGGTCACAGTGGATAAATTGGGTGAGCAAGGGCATGATCGTTAAGCAACAGATTAAAGCGTCACGTTATCACTATTCTACAAAAGTATTGAGTAACTGGCTTTCAAGACAATCAATGCTTCGCCAAAATAAAATTTTATTATGGATCTTTTATTAGTTAGTCACGTATTTGTTATTACACTCGTCGACGTTACGTATTTTAGATGTGACCGTTAAAAAAATCAAGCTCTTATTCAAGAATGGCGAACAATTCAAAATATTCTTGAACTTAAAGATCTGAATTTACCTTGCCGACATTCATCTACACCGTCCGTATAGAGTGAGGAAGCCCTATCGTATCTTTAAACTCGCATGTGTTATTTGACTAACTCTAATTTGAGTTATATATTCGGATGCCATGTCACTCGGCGTGCATGGCACAAGTCAAGC